TGAGTCAGATGCATCCATACAGTCGACCATCATCAAAATAGCATCAGTTCCTTTGTTCTGATTGGAAATTACCTCATGAAAAAAATAAAAAAAAGTCTTCACAAATTCATTTTCAGCGGATTAGCCTCCGAGCACTGAGGTGTAATGTATAGCTAGCCCGCGTCATCTGTAATTCGTCTGGTTGCTATAACACACATCAACCGTGTGGCGCACAGTCCACCTTCTTCATGCTAAATCCTGTGTTGAACAGCAGTTCACTGTTTCTAATTGCTCACACAAAGCTTTTCTACATGCAGCAATACAGTTCAGTAACAACACAGCACCACTTCTCTCACAAAAGACTCATAAATCAGTTTATGCAACATGAAAATCAACACCCACCTTGTAGCCCTATCTACGGGGTTTTATTATCTTTTGTTATTGCCGAAGGGCAAAATAGTGTGTTATTGTACCTCCGCCCACACCGATGTTGTGAACAGAGAAGAGAACGTAAACGTTGAGTAGATGAAATCCATAGCTTACAGAGCAAAGCTTTTAAGAAGATATTACATATGGAGTAATTTCCCTGTGGCACTGCCATCCACAGTGCAAAGGCAGCTAAAGGAATATTGTTGTTTAGCCAAACCTCATAACAAGTGTGTTTAGATCAATTGTCTTGATAGGCTAATCACACATTTCCAAACAGTTATTATCTTTAATAATTAGTGCAGCAGGGCTGGAGGTTGTTGTCCTATTCTTTTCCTCCCCCGGGGTCCAATTTAGTATCCTCCAGCTGCAGCAGGAATAAGATCCCAGCAGGCTGCAGGGAGGGTGTTTGTCCTTCAGTGCTATACAGAAAAATACAGTATCCTAGGCTACGGAGATGGTGAGACAAAGCAGTGGAGTGAAAGAGAGGCCAGTGCAGAGGAAGAGAGCACAGACCTAAAGGAAAGGTATGAAATGAAAACTTTGTATCCCCACTTTCAACATCACAAACATGGGGGCATTCTCCAAGGCCTTATAAGGTTGATATCATGGCTCTCCAGGGACCTCTCACTTTCTCTAATGGCCATGCATTAGTCTCCTCCATAGCGCTGGTCATCACCCTCTTCCTCAGCCATTGTTCTCTCTCTGTTCTCCACTCCCCGCGGTACAAGCCCTTTCTTCCATCTTTATTCTGTCCCACTGTCATCCACTTTGTTTGCCTCAGAGTTTTACAGAAATGTCCCCACACTGAATGTCTCGGCCTACTCACTAGTTACAATACACAAATTCAGATTAGTAGATCAATTATAACAGCTAAGATGGGAGTGTTGTTTTATGTTATCTGTACAGAGGTTCAATAAATATCGAATTTGTATTTTGTTTTCTCAGCAACCGACAATCCAAATGTTTACTTGTGTCTTAATTTTAGCAGAATAGAAGTGAAAAATTAAATCCAAATATTAAATGGAAGTGTTCAAATATTTAAATATTACTGTATCAAAGCAAAACTTGAACCACTGTTATTAACCTAATGCAATTTAACATGTACTATATATATATATATTCCACAGTGGTTAACTCCAGGGACAATATTGCTTTTGTGAGAGAAACCAACAAAACACCACTCGTACTTTAAACATCGGACAGCCCAAAGATATCATACAAGTGGACGATGGCTACTGAAATGCATGCTGCATGACCGGATGAGGATAGAAGCTTAGGATATATAATTGCAACGCAGACCTTGTGAGCCTGTCCCCTGCTCGCCCTGAACAATGAACAGCCACACACAACGCCTGCCGGGGGCTGCCCTCCCCCTTTGGCCGGGACGGGCACAGATTGGTACACAGCAGGCACCAAAGTCCACCACCAAATATAGACTTCAGATACCTACATTACATAATGGTTATCCCTCAAACAACTAACTTGTATTTTCTGCAGAGGCTAAGTGGTGGACTGGTGAAATGCACCTCACACAGTTCATAACTTTAATCTATAGCAGCACCATGGATGGCAGGGACTTAATGTATGGAGCAATAGTGTGTAAATTAAAGAAAATAAGTAGATATCGGGGTTGAATTTGCCATTTCCACAAAGAGAACTCAGAGGAGCATCCACATGCCTAAGGTGCCGTTTAATGAAACGATGCAGGAAAGGAATTGGACCATTAAGTACACCTACAAATGAATGACCTTCCACATCTCATGACACACTAAAAGGACTAAAGCAATATAACTACAATCGATCATTTTAGGCGTAGACTAAGCTGCGCGTGGATGAATCACCGATAATTGTAGCAATAGGTGTGCACAGTCGTCCAAAATACCACAATCTGAGTTACATATATCCTTAATAACAAGCCAGACTTCTAAAAAACAAGAAACGTTGTCGGTCAAAGCTCACCGCCCTGTTGTTAACACTGATGCTGAGGACAAATCCACAGGCTGAGCAAATCAGCATCCACCCACCGCTCCTCCGGATGCCTTGGAGGACGAGTACTACAGCCTCGCTGGCAGAGCGGGGCTTATCGATGTTTACCGATGATTAACAAAGAATAAGGTCTTACCTGCAGAATGTCATATGCTGATCAAGTCACCTCCTTCGGGGTTTTGTGAGGGATGGTGCTGGCAGGTCTCGCATCACTCAGTGCGTGTTTTACCAACAGAAAGCGTAAGGAGCACGGTTGCCTGATAGCGCCGCCCCGGAACGAGTATAAAACAAAACGAACCCACTGCGGTTGTCTGGTCTGTGAATACAGCCCTGCGCGAGAGCCAGCTACCCCACCCGAGCAGCGCGAGCTCGTGCGTTAACGTTACATGGACACAGAGTAATCCGTTACTACAGAGCCCATGCATTTTAAGATGTGTGCTAACCACGTGCCAAACTTTCATAAATTCTGCAAATTACTCACCACATTCTTAAATACATTTATACTAAATATTCTTGAAAGACTCGGTCATGTGAACAAAGAAAACTGTATGGTACACAAAAACGTTTTTACTGAGAAATATCGCCCCTTAACCTACACCAAACACAGATGGCAGCAGGAAATTACTCATTTCTAAACTACTTGGCAAAGAAAACATATTAATGCTGTATTCCCATGTATATATAAGTAATACAATATTATGAAAATATATGATATGAATCTTATCTTCATATGCCACCTCGCTACCATCTTGGCCTAACTCCTAAAATTGGCTTAAAAGGTGGGATGTTTTTAATAGGCCTTTTGAGCACCAACTCAGCCATTGTCCCTCCTACACAGGGTTTTTTTTCTCTTATGTAGTTTATGACAACAAATCTCAAGACTCATGATTATATATGTATGTCATAGTTGCTGTAAATGTAGCCTACAACTGTAGGCTACAACTGGGAAGGACATCTTTCACCTTCATCGTTTCTATTGATAAGTTGAGTTTGGTGACTTTATGTTATACCTGCATAGCTCCACACTGAGCTAAAGGCTAATCAATCAGAATAGTTGATATCACCTGTGTGTGCGTGCAAGGGCCTTTGGAAGTATTTGAGGAATCTAAATATGTCTTTAAATCAATGGCAAGTCTTGTAAAATGATCTGTAGGATTTTTCAAAAAATCAGTTCACAAAAAGTTACAGAAAAACAAGTATTCTCACCTCTAGTGTCTGCAGCAGGCTCTGAGATACGCAGCTCACACTTCTCTGTTCACAATAGAGTTGAATGGAATTCAATTTGTGATGCTGAGATATTACATTTTAAAATGCAGAAAAAAGTTATCAAAGGGTTTATTCCTTCTTCTGAGGAAAAAGAAAAATGTCTTCTGAGTATTGTGTATTATTCAGAATAACCTGTTAAATTTTGGCGTAACTGTATCAACTACAATAGAGCATTGGCCTGGATTGTGTTATTCCTTCTGAGATTAAATACTGTATAAATTAAAATAAATTTATAAATTACATCAAAAGGAAGATTCCCTCTGAAGCGCCTCAGCCTTTCAATTCATGGACAGCAGGCCAGCGCTGCCACCGAGTGGTCATGTCTTAACATTACAGCTGAATGAAGCTCTAATAGCTTGATCACTGATGGACACGGATGAAATCTGGCACATTAAATCCACAATGCATCAGAGAGCCAGACTTAATACCCTTTGAAAGGCAAGATTATTTCACCAACAAATAATCGCTTATCATGCTATATTTTCAAAAAAATAAAACAAAATAACTTTTGATCTGGCAATCAAGTCAAAAATGCTCAAATGTGTACAGGAGGAATATTCATAAAAAAACGTTATATTTTTTTAAATGCAGAAAGGTTAGGATTACCAAAAAAAGAATAGTATCCAACTCTATTAGTGATACACAGCCCATCCATCTGACAACATAGTGGGGCAATTATATATATATATATATATATATACACAGTATGTCTATAAGCAGAGGTTTGCGACGGAAATTTATTATAATTTCCGTGTTTATTGTTGAATTATGTTGTTTATCACTGCCCAGTGTCAATTCATGATGTTACTGCTGCAATATGTTTGTTTAATCATCTTGTCAGTTACTTTTATTTCTCTGGGAGATAGTACAATGAAGAAGTGATATTGGAGTATATATTAATATGCTAATAATGGACTTACTATTAATAAATTAACATATACAGCTGTTATAGCAGCCCAGGGGGATCTCTCTGTGAAATGCCTCTGCAAAGATTGAACCTATACTGAATCTATACCTATACTTCTTGCAAGTTTGGGCTGGGTCAGAAACCGTTTCTGATGTGGGCAAATTTAAAAAAGAGTATTTAATCAGTTATCTGAGAACACATTATTTTTTGCAGTAATGATGACTAGTGGTTAAGAGACATGAGATCAGAGGTGTGCGGTAACAACAAACACAGCAGGACAGTAAACAGGGTTAAATCCCATGACGAAAGAAAATCTCAATTGTAAATTGTGTGTTGTGTAAAACACTGTATACTGTGTCTGCATGTCAATAACTCCAACACTAGACCTTTCAATCATTTGTTTTATTATTGATTGATGTCAATGTCTTTCATACTAATATTTTGTAGGAAGTCCTGGTGGCCTGTAATCGTTGGGATCTCCTCCACTGCGCCCATGCTCATTTGCCTTCTGATCAGCAGCAGAGTCCTCAGAACCGTGACCTGTTATTTCTTGCACCCACTCTCTGGCATTACTGAGATCAGAAAATAAATAAAAAATAGCAGCACGAGCAGATGACAGAACAAGTACTTTTCAAAACCTACTTACAAAGTGCTGTAAAAGGGTCCATGAGTTGAAGCCTTATTAAGGTAGGCCTGCAGATTGCTTAATCAGGTGATATTCATAATTTATACAATGTTTGATACAAAGATCTGTTTTCCATCTGCATAGAAATAACAACATATAATGCCTTTTGAATTGTGTGAGCTTATAGCATTTAATAAAGGGCCGAAAAATGATCCCTGAGATAATTTACAATTTACCAAACATCAATAAGAATGTAGAAAAATTCTCTTAGATCCATCTGCAGCTTTTTTTTTAACAAGAATGATTTCTTTTTGAGAAAAAAACTAATACGCAACAGCTAACAATGTAAAAGCAGATAATGCTTTCCTACTCTTGCTGCTCTCACTCCTCACCTGATAACCTCAGCTGCCCACCTGCCCCCCTCTCCTCTCTGGGCAGCGTCAGCGTTTCCTCTGGCATGAAAGTATTTGTCCGACTCCTTATAGTTGGCCTCCACCATATCAGTGTATGCTCGCGCCATATCACGAGTTCCTGATCATGACAGAAGACAGTTTAGTAAAATGAATGAGAGAATTCACAAATGTTCATGTCATTGTCATTGCTAAAACACGTAATCCGGACATATGGAATACAACCAAACACATTGTTCTTGTGGCTATGTTAAAAGGGTCATATTTCTAACCTTGAACGGCTTCACGAGGAAAGGTGAACCAGTTGGCATTGGCTTCCACAATTAGGATCAGAACAATCCCTGCCAGAAGCAACTTCATGGTTATACTGTAGATGTCTAAAAGGAAAACAAACAAACAAAAATGACATATAGTTCACCTTTAAACACAACATAATATACATACATTCATATTTTTCAGGTCTTTCAAACTTACTTTGCCGTTCCTGCAGAGTTTAGAGTAACTCCTGATAGATTCTAGAGTATCTTATCAGTGAGGACTCCACTGATCGGACTGACTTATATTCTACTCTGAAACAAGCTGAGTTGTAGGATTTCTGAATAGTGGAACTTCTTATCCATTTGAAGGCCGGTTACACACTGTGGACATTTCAGAGTTGTGCAAAGGCAGGGACAACAACAAGCTTTACGTAAACAAAAAGGTGGAAAAGATTTTTTTGCTGCATGTCATGACAAATCAGAAAATGAATATGTTAAAATATCTCTTTTTTATATTTGTCTAATATTTTGATCGTTTTTGATCCCTTTTGTTTATGTTGTCATCGTAATTTAAAACATTTGGGACTTTTACAAGAAAATTGCTACAAAAAAATGAATTAGTGTTGTTACCACTACTGCAGTTTTTGCTTTTGTTGCTGTTGTGTGTATATATATATACTTTGATATACTTTTATATACTCTCCAGCAATAACTCCAGAGATGGACACAAACACAGGAGACTACAGGCAACAAAACTTGGAAACTAATATTAATTCAAGGTTCTGTGAAGGCAAGGCAGACCTAAACATCTTGTCACAAAATCAAGATCCAACAAAAAATTGAACTGAAAATGGACTTCGATACAAAGTAATGTGAGGAGAGGATGACGTGCAAGTGGAGAGATGGGTGGAGAAGCTCTGGTGAGAACGAGCAGGGAGCTGATTGGCAGGGGAAACTAACAAGGCTGAATTAGAGGAGGTGTGTAGATGGGCAAAGGAGGGAAATGCAGAACAGAAAACACAGAAAACAAATAATTTCAGTCTACAAGAAGTCATCAGTGCTAGACTGTGACAATAAAGTCCAGTTTATGTTTTGTTATTTCTTAGATTTCAGATTTTTACACATCACGTTGTCCAGTCAAAATTGTGTTTCTCTTTGAACTCACCTCACTCTCAATACAAGACATTGGATAATTTGTCATGTTTCATTGGCCTTGTAAGTTCTTCATTATTCACAATGTCTGTATTGTTTGAAAACATTTGATAAACAATTATAGTTTGGGGGAGCAATGAATACTTTCATCCAGAAAACTAAAACATAAGTATGATCCTAAAAAACAATCTAGTTGAACCCAAGGACTTTTTGTAAGAAGGAACAAATATTTAGAGAAAGACATACTACAAGATATCATCATGTTGAACGATATCAATGTTGATAACATTATATGAACCGTTGCACTTCTTCTTGTATAAAAGAGTCAGTGGTATGTTTTGTTTAGCACCTCTGAATATACAAGTGTCATGGCAGAGATGTCCAACCATCATGATCCTTCACCAGCCCACTGAAACTGTAGCTTGATTGACAGCACTGACCTGTCTGTACTCTGTAAGCCTCTTATCACACCCTCACTGAAACTGCTTTGTGCAGCTGTGATGTTGAACCAGCTCCCTGAGCTTTTAAACAGTGATTTTCTTTTCATCAGAGAACAAGCTCTTATCTGACAGCTTTGGCTTGATGGTTGAAATACCTCTGCATTTGTATGATTTTTCTTTCCCACAGTTTCCCCAACCAAAAACCATTTTGGTGACCTGCATTTAATGAAGATTTAATGTTACAGGGTATTTGGAACATTGGTTTACTTCTATTTAGAATTGTATTAGCAGATCCTACCATATGGAAATTAGTATTGTAAAGCGCAGCTCTGCAGTGGAACAATGGTTAACAGTGTAAATTTCCTCCGCAGTCAGACATATCTCAGATCATATATCGTACATATCACCTATACGTATTTTGTTTGTGACACATGACAGACTTGTTAAATACTTTTATTGTCAATGGCTCACGGCACAACAAAACACATTCTTCAATGATCTTTCTTGTTGTGCTGATTGTGTGTAATGGAAAACCGTGCTCATATATTCTTTATCACGGCAAGTTCATTGTGCTGTATTTGCACCAATGTATCAACTGTCAAATTCTTTCTTTTTGATTCATCAGGAGAAGAGAAATAGAACATTTCCATTTTTGGAATACATTGCATTACTTTTTATCGTCAAATTTAAAAAAAAAAAAGAGTATGCTATTTTTGCAGAGAGAAGGAGACTACTGGCCTTTAGAGCATCTCATGACATCATTGAGACCTCCATAGAATACAACAGAAGTGTCTTTTTGGGTGAGACGGGTCAAAGGTTGTTTTCCATATGTGGGTATGAATTGCTGATTATCTGTCAGAGTTTGAATGAAGATGTGATGTCACTCTCCAAATAAAACTGGTTTGGGCACTTTGAATGTCTTGATCTGGTGTGAAGATGGAAAGACATGTTACACTATATTAACCATCTAAGCTTAACAATAATATATAAAATCATATATGCTCTCATATTTGTTGGGCCACCTGTTTGATGTGCATGTATGAGGCATATGTGCTGTAAAGAAATCCAGCTCATTAGTCCCAAGGCTGCTATGCACTTGCTCAGCTGCTTTAATGCTTATAACAATAATTAAGTTGATTGTGATATAATGGCTTTAAAATTACCTGGAATATGTGAGTGCTCATGAACCTCTCTATTATAGTTTGAAATAAAACAACATCCCACACACTGAGCAAATCTTTGTGAAGAAATTACGCAATCACGTCACTGAAAACCCCTGGAGGATTAAAGGATGCTCAAGTTGTGTTGATGAATGTGTTGTTTTGAGCTCAGAGAAGACACTGTGACAGGCTAATAAATATGAATCACAAAGATTGTGTGAGGAAAAAGTGAGGGTGAGGAAGAGAGCTGATGCAATGAGAAGCCTGGAACAGGAAAAGCCGAGTGTGTCATATGTCTGAGACATAGAGAGAGCATCAGTTTTCAGGAATGAATGCTTTGTGTATGCGATAGATTAAACAGATTCCCCACTAGCCATGAAATAGAACGAGGGAGGCTCTAACTGTAGCTATACTGGCTATACTGGCTATACCGGAAGACAATGTGCTTTACACAGATACATAAAAAACACACAAGATGTCAGAGGTGGCAGACAGAAATCTGAGAGGTAGAACAAAGGAACAAAGACTCAACCCAGCAGAGCACTGAACTGGTACTAAGCCATCAAGTACAATAATCCCAAATAGGGGTGTTTTCTCTCCCTGAAATCAATTGTTCGACAGTCCGGTAAAGTCACTCTGATAGAAACAGCATGTTGCTATGGGCTTTTCTTGTGATAAAAGTGCACAGATGATTAACCAAGATCCTGTGTAATACCTCATATATAGTTGTTTTTAAATATACTTGTATCAAGAAGAAGGTTGTTCCAATAAGAATTAAGCTTGGTGTCATATTCCAGAGCTTATTTAGCAAGTTATTTACAATGCAAAAATAAATCAAGTCAAGGTACAACAATTTTATTTAGTTACAAATTTGCCTCAAAGCAGTTTACAATGTGTACCACGTGACACTCTCTATTCTTAGACCCTAAATTTGGACAACAAAAAGCTCCCTACTCCTTTAATGGGAAATGCAGAAACCACAGGCAACAGCGATCGATGTTGTAGGCTATACATGTAGAAAAAAAGTGATGGTTTTGTTTCAGTATAGGCTACAATTGCATCAGTTACCAGCAGACCACAACAAGCTTATAAGCAAGTGCCATTTTCCTTTCACTGCTAGTGAAACATGCACACATTGTAAATTGTATTTGTCAAACGTTATAAACACGCAAGTTTGAAAAACTAGCACTAACTTTGAACTGGACTGTCCTACATCTTTAACAGACTATGGAGGGGGGCATCATCCCCCATCAGCACCCAGCAGACTGCCACTGGTTGATGTGTAACACTAGAGACCGCCAGTGAGCCATGATATACGGGCATGGCTCTGGGCGAACGTGAATGGTGAGTCAATGTGGCTTATCGACTGTATGGGCCCATCGGCTGCAATGGCACGATGGTCATAATGACAGCAGACTGCTCGTGACACAAGAAAAGCTTGATAGAGGCTCAGCACGTGAGCAAGAGAGAGGAAACGTGGAGGCGAACTTCGGCAGGTTGTGCGTAAAAAAAAAGAAGGTATATGCAGAGATGCACATGTGAATCGCCGAGATTGTTGATTCCACAGTGTAAGAACCGGTGTAAGGATGATTGAAGATCAGGACTGATGGTGAAAAATATGACATTCATGCCATTTCTGCTCACATTACGAGCGATTTCTCAATATTTGCTTTCACCTGCGCTCCTTTCGGAGCAGCGGCAGGCTTAATACTTAAGTAGAATCGGCTGTCTGTCATAATCACCATTATCAAAAAGGGCTAGAAAAGCCTTTTTTTTAAATAAATAAATGGCCTCAATAGAAAAAACAAATGGTGCATATGAAAGTCCCCATTTATTTACGTTAATTTGTCATCATGAGCTGCTCATCAATGTTTAGTTTCGGAGTGAAAGTGTGCGCGAAATGTCTCTCTAGAATCTCAGATGAAACGGTCTACACAACACTGTGCGCACGGATTCGTAGACGACCTCCTACCGACTTACTTCACGTCACCCCGCCCGTCTGCCCGCCGTCTCCTCCCTAGAACATTTGCTGTGCCCATCCCTTTGAGCGACTCTGGGCTGAGAGAAAAAAAAGAGACGGACACAGACAGAGGGAGAAAGTGAGTGTGTGTGAGAGAGAGAGAGAGAGAGAGAGAGAGAGAGAGAGAGAGAGAGAGAGACTCCCAAAATCACCTAGACTACCTGCTCCATCCAGCACAACAAGGGGTGGAGGACGCACAAGTGCAAGCGCGTCCGTGCGTGCCAGCCGAACAAGACAATAAACGAGCATGCAAAGACCGCAAATCCAGAAATTGAAATAAGAGTTTATCTTGAGAACTCTTTGGAAAAGAGCGCAGCTTTGCGACAAGAAACCAAGACAGCCTATGTGAGTACACGGTACGAAGAGCCATGCATCTCAACAGAGAAGAAGATAACAGCAAAGGTGAGCAAAGGATTTCCGCGGCCATCGGTGGATGGTTTTAATCCAGACTGTATAGTTCAAAGCTCTCGCGTTGGTTGCCAGATGCCCTTGAGTGTGCCATATCAAGTAATGATGCTGGGGGTCATTCCAACAAGCCGATGGTCACTGCTCTCATGGTTCTGTTATTGCCTGTCTGCTTTTCACCAAAAAGCCTTGCATGCGAGAAGCGAGAAGGGCTGTTGCATACACCCAAGGTGGCAATGTGTTGGCTGTCTGTGAGAGAGACTTGAGCACTTGTTGTGCCCGATTCGGTCGCTTTTAAGCACGAGGTGACCCGAGCGTAAAATGCACAAGGTCATCCATTCCCGGTCATATTGACGAGCAGCGCGCCGTGTTGGTGTAGCGACGAGGTGCGTGTGTTTCGGAGGATATCGTTGTCTATAATTGAGACGCCACGGATGTGTGTCCTCCGATGTGGTCGGAGGGGAGAATTAGAGAGCAGACGGTGTGTAATGACACGAGCCCCCTCCATCAGTATCGTAATGATGGAGTAAATAGCCTCTGATGTGTCTGCCGGAGCCGTGCCGAATATTTTTACTCCCAATCTTTGAACTGAAGTCGAGGTCACCGACTAACACCTGATGCTGAAGGAGATTTGCCTCTGAATGTCTGTCGACTTGACGCAGCCTGTGTCTTATTGGGCATTGTTCAATAAACACCAATAGAACTTATCTTGTGTTCACCACACCCACATGGAGCGAGTTAAGCATAATTCTACGTACAGCATAAACATCACCTGCACTGCTCAACCTGCACACTTGTATGCAATTCAACAATTTGTTGCATGCAATGTTCCAAAACTCTCCAAATGTAAGTGCAAATGTAAAATAAGTGGCATATCAGCAGTGCAGTTCTGGACAGAATCCCAGTTTCTTATAGTCAAAATAGTAAGAAGACTATTCCACACTCTAAGTGTTAGAAATCTCTCTATAAACTCTCTTTTCCTCACAACTGAGAAGCATGCTGATAATGTTATAATAATGCTGGCAAGGGAATATAACATTTCAGTTTTTATGTGCAGCTGTCAGGCTTCATGGTCGGCTAATATCTTTGTTTTTCACCAGCTGCAAAGCATGCTGTTCAGAGAGGAGTTCCCCATGTAGTGAGTGGTGCCCTGCACAGTGGCACTCTGCATCATCCCTCATCCAAAATGTCTTACGACCTCGTTGCCAGATATGGTTTCAACAGGGACAAAAGATGAGTCACCACCTGCAACTAGAAGTGATTTCATGATTACATGACAAGTGTGTGTGCGTGTGCGTGTGTGTGTGTGTGTGTAAATTCAACAGAAATTGCAGCATTAAAGCAGCCAATAGTAGAAATTCCAGGACACATCTCAATAAATTGATTGGATTAAATAATTGTATTCATCCCCGGCGGGTTAAAAAGTAGAGCAACAACATACAGCATATTGATGAAATATTAAGGATTATACAGTAAATCATTAAAATGCATATGATAAAAAAATATGAACTGCTGATATTAATATTTTTAGGATTTACAAATGCTCACATTACCATACTCTGGTAAACCTTCATTCCAAATTAGATACATTTAATTCATCAAGTAAATATCTGCCATCAAACTGACGTGATGGTGAAACAAAAGCAAACAGTAATCGTGAAAAGCTCTGAGCCAATGAGGCCAGCCGACTGTTTTATCTTTAACCTGTAAATCTGTGACTCTGACAAACAGTTGTTCAAACAGTATAACTTACTGTGTGTGACATATTAAAGATGCCTGATGATCTTTAATGTTCTGCAAGGCTATACAGCCTGTTTTACCAGAACACCCTTAACTGAAACAGAGTTTTATGCTTTAAGACCGTCTACTGTGTCAAAATGAATCATATCAATAGCTTGGATTCATCACGAATAAATGATTTGACCCAGCCTCTAGCTTGAATTGTCATGTTACATTAGATTGAGATAGTCTAACGCAGAAATATGTTTACGAAATTTACCTCCAGAGACAATTTCACCAATAATTTCAGGAAAGCATAAAGGGTTTGTTTCCTAAAATATTCATCATTTATCTTAAAAACCTATTTGCCGAACTATGAACCTGCAGCTTCATTAAGACACCACCAGCTCTCTTGTGAGATTGATTTGTGACATGAGTTAAACAGGAAGCCATCATTCAAACTTCTACCTGTGAATATGTTTTGATCAGCCAGATAAGTGTGTTTGTGTAGGTTTAAGTTTCTGAGTAAAATCCTGATTCTTTAAGCGCCTGTCAAAAAATACAAATGAGCTGTAATTTCAACTCAACACTGAGACAAATCCGTATTGAGCGGCACACGGTGCAGTGACACGGAAGAAAAAGGAGGCACAGATTAAACTTTTTCTCTCCGGATATCGATTCTGATACCTCAACTCAGAGTTGCCGATACAGAGTACCAATAAGGGACCAGTACTTTATTTTAAATGTTAGAGTCCGCACACTGCACTGTGTGGAACTCATTGGGGTGATGTCTATGTAATGTAACATGAAGCTAGGGATTTCTGTTCCTCCCCAAAGTGAGTATCGATGACTGAATCAATGTAACTGATAGAGAAAACACAGAACTATACAATTACTTTGACAGAGAAACTGTCAATGTAACTGTGCAGGAGATGCAATTAGAGATTCTAATTTTCTGCAGGTGTGAATGTGAGTAAATGGTTGGTCTCTGTACATGTGTTAACTCCTTGATAAGACAGATAGACTGTTCAAATTTGATCCTGCTTCTTGCCCACTGTGAGGTTCAAACCCCCTCGCTACACTGCACGGGATAAATTGGTTTAGTCTGTTGGAAATGAGTTTTACTGTTCGTGTGGCTTTGACATGAATACTCGCCTTTATGTCACCTGGATATAATATCTGAAGCTGCCACATAATTAATCATAAAAAGACGGGAAATCTAACTGTTGGCAGCTTTTCATAAAATAATTATTTATTGTAGTGTTATGGGCTTAATTTGTGTTGATGTCAGTAATTGGGTTTAAACTTTGATGTCACAATTTAGCAATACAAGTTCTGTGGCTTTTGATAAGCTAATTGATCCGCCTGTCCAAGTCCATGCTGCAAGAACAGAATACATCACCTGCAATCAACAGGGTGTTAATATGCATTTCTTTAGAGGAGCACAGTCATTTGCATCTCCATGAAAAATGTGTGATGAATGAGAGGAATGACTGCATTGTGGAGCATAGGCAGAGATGTGTTTCGTAGAGTTGTAGTATTCTGAGGTTGGTTTGTCGAGGTCCTCCCGCGGGGTTGTTGTAATCTCTCCAGAGCAGCCCAGGTGTAAATGTCAGACATCAATGCAAGGTGCAATAGAGAATCATTATTAATCCGGCACGTGAACAGTCAGAGATAATTACTTAATATTAGCAGCATTTAGATTCAGAGGGAAATGTTTAACTATGTTATGGCTCAAAACTAATGGGCTGGAATCTTATTCGTGGTTTGAGACAAGCTGCAAGAAAGAAGAGAGAGACAGAGCAGTAATTAATAAATCTGAAACAAAGGTATTTATATTCCCTGTTTAACTCTGAGGCACAATGTTGGGGAGGAAGCCACTTAGATTTACAGACTCAAGGGATGGGACGGGACACTGAAGCTGTGAAAAGGGAGATATTGCTCTGTTCTTGCTTTGCTGAACACATATTTACAACCAAAGACGAATATGATAGACGATCACATCAAAATGATGGCTGAATAGAAAAGTCAGACGGGTGGGGGGGTCAGACACAATGTGCCACGGAGAGGGAGTTGGGTTTGTTTGTTGTGAGAAGGCTGAATTATACCTTCTTCAGTTTCAATAGTCTGCCAAAACGATTTTCCCTCATGGTGTACAATTCAAAATGAAAGACTCAACAAAAATATTTTTCTTTTTCTGATGAAGGTGTCATGTTGAAACACGTCAGCAGATTTTTCCGTCTGTAAGCTGTGAATAAAATCATCAAAATGTGAGATGTCGGGTGATGCTTGTTTTTGTTGTCACTATTAAAGTGACAGTTATTTCCCCCCCCAAAACCTTATTGCATAATTTTAAAAAGGAGGTTTTAAATACAACGTGAGGAAGTCCACAAAGAAATAAAGATGTTTTGAAGTTATTGGGAAAAAAGAGAAAGCTGTTTACAAAAGTCTAAAAAAGATGGTCCTTAACTTCAGCTGGTCAGTTTCTGCTCACTGTTTTGTGGAGGTAATAAATATAAAAAACACATCATCTGTTCCTATACAAATAACATATTTGTATTACTTTACATGCCAATCATAAACTTGTGTTGGCCCAGACAAACACATTGCAAGATATAGTGTATATTTGTGTATTGTGTGTGTGTGGTGTGTGGTTAGACATCCCTGTGCTCTTACATAACTCTGTTGCAGCAGCATGCTAAAGACAGCATCCTAATTGTTCTCTACATCCACCTAGCTTCTGTCTCTCCTCCCGCTTGACCCCGTTTGCCATCTTGTCTGGGTTTTATTTTGCGCCTCGCAATTATTGATGAGAAGTAACGGGCAAGGAAAACAGACGGCCAGAGATGGCGGAGAAGAGATTTTGAAATCTGGATGCATCAAGAAAGTAGCCTTCCACTGTAAAAACAGTGTGGGTTGAAAAAGTTACTGGCAGATATAGGGGGCTGGTGGAGAAAGACAGAAATAGATAATTGGAGACAGAGGCAGAGAGAGAGAGGCAGTCTAGATCTTGAGAGAATATCTATGTTATGCCTGTAGTGAGTACCAGTAGTGAGTACTTTTGAAGAGAAAAAGAGACATACACTATTCCTTTAAATCAGTAAACTTAGTGAAGCAACACTGGTCTCCAGGCTCTGTACACAGAGACAGTAAAGAGGACAAAGGCACAGAAAGAAGATCGCTGGATCCTTTTTACATTTTTTATAATACTGACGGATTGGGAGGAAGAGTCTCTTCAAGCTCTTCTGTTTGGTAAAATGCTGACAGCGATAACAGTA